GCCCCCGGCCCGCCCCCGGGCCAGTTGAGTGCCTGTCTCGGCAACAAAGCCGTCCGCCCCCATCGATCCCCTGCCCAGCCCAGCCCGGCTGGGGCCCCGGCGGGGGCCGGGCGCAGCGACGACGGCGGCCTTTTGGCTGGCCGCGAACCCCCCCGCCAGCGGCGTGCATCGCGCGCGCACCCCGCATTGGGGCGGTAAAATCTATGTCTAATCTTCTGTCGAAAAGAGGGAAAACTTTGTGAGGAACTCGCATTATTTGAAGAAAACTCCTCAAATTTCGAAAAAAAAACAAAATCATGCAGGAATTTTTCACATTTTTCGATGAAATTTGCTGAAAATTCAGGGATTTATGGGAGTTTTTCGAACGAATTTACCGTTTTCCGTGAAAAAAATCAGACAATGCTTGCACCCTGTACTCGACTGTGAGGAGGAGGTTGAGAGGATGGCAGAGCACCCAAGAATGCGGGTTGATACAACCAGTGCATATTAAGTTCTTAAGAGAAACGAGTGCACGAAAAATGTCCATAAATCAAGAGGGGGAGTGCAAAAGATTCATACATCTTGCACTAGTGCAATGTGCAAAATGACCATTGTTGTTGCATCTGATCTGATGTGGCCTCGCCCACGACCCACGTGCCCAGGGCGTCTTTGAAACGATCCCAACGATACTGTACCGCATGGCATATGCGCGGGTGGGTTGCCTACTCATAAGGGGTTCGACTCGAGCTCTCTGCTGTGCGGTAGAAACCACTTGCACGGTATGGGACTATAGGGAAGAAGTCGGTGTTGAGTGTTTCTTTTTATCATAACTTTATTTACCAAAGTCTAACGTTGTTCTTTTCTGTGAATGTTGCAGGTACTGGAAAGTACTGGGACTCCAACGGGTGGACACGGTGAACTCTCTTTGGACTAGTTTGGGCGTTGTAAGTATCACAAAACATCAGTACTACTACTTGTTACTCGTTTTATCACCATTTTTCTGTTTTGGAACCGTTTATATCAGTTGCACGTCACGCTATTAAATGCCCCTCCTCTCTCCCTCGTCGCGATCTCATAAGAGCCTGCCGGGGGCCTCTTGAATCCGGCCGGGCTCGGGCCGACGTCTATTCGCGTAATCTGCGCGGGGGAAATTAAAAAAGGCCGGGAAATTTAATTAGCACTAGGCGGCGGGCGCAGCCGCAGCGCCCCTTTATAC